ACACACACACACACATTGGCACAAACTGCACAGAAACATTGAAACTCATCCCTCTACTACTCTCACACACATCACACACACTGAGAACTCCCTGATGTTCCCAGTCAGAGATACACATTCTCCTGTGGTCTCACTGACACACTGACATGCTTTAATAGAGGCCTGTATTCATAAGCGGTCATCTACACACAAGCTCACATACACTGACAGATTCTTTAACACACAAACCATTTGCACGCATGTTACTCCCTCTGACACCCTCGCACACAAAGTCACACAGACGCCAGTGAACCTGAAGTGTCTCCAGCCCTTGGCTTTCCAGGGGCTTGCCTGGGGTCCTTGCTCTGGACCATGGAGAGACGCTCTTCCTCCACCTCCCAGGGGGAGGTGATGTCCCCGAGGGAACAGAGGTCTCCAGTCTCATCTTCAGCTCTCTGGATCCCATGTGACATCAGCCAGCCCCCTCGCTGAGGCTACTGCTGTGGGGAATTCTGAGCTCTGTGCCGAGGTCCGGCCAGCAGCCAGGCACAGACACATCAGCCCTTGTTGGAAGACAGAGAGCAGCTCTCTTGTCTGCTGCCCATCCTCCAGCTCCAGCTGCTGGTTCAGTCTGTGGCCTCGCCTTGGGCTTTGCAGGTACGTGGTGCTGGGGAGGCTTGGGCCTGGTGGAGGGGTGTCAGGGTCAGCCTGGAGGGGGATATGCGGTGCTGTGGGCTGTCTATGGAAACAGATCAATGGAGCCTCGGTTGAGCCAGGCTGCACCCCTTACTCAATAGTCTGCACCTCCCTCCCTTAGGGCTTGACAGGGCTGGGTCTCTCAGCAGCCTCGCCCAGGGCATTGCCTCTTTCCTGGCATGACCACTTTCTCAGCTCCCAAGAAGACTACTGGGTGGGGTCACCAGGGTCCCCTTGTAAAAATGTCTGGCCTCTTCCCAGTGAGGCTAGGCCGTAACTGGCACCCACAGTGGGCTAAGGCGGTGTGGTCCTCGGGTGCATGGTACCCAGCAGCCACATGAACATTTGGTCTTCCAGGTGAGGTCTCGATTTCCAGCCTTGACTTTCTAAGTAGAGGCAGGGCTGTGGGAGCCTGAGCACCCTGCCCTGGGGCCTGGCCATCCAGGACACCTCCACCCTGATACTGTGTTCCCGGCCATGAAGATCCCGTAATGTTTGGTCAGATACCAGCCAGCCTAGGCTATCTCGATGGCCTGGCACAAAGTCCCCAAGGCCAGCCACCATTCCTGGGGGACCGAGCAGAGGTCCCTTGAGGCAGCGAGATGACAGCAAAGAGCCCAGCTATCTATAGGAACTCAGGGTTCCCGACACACCTGTATGTGAGCATGGAGCACTGAACCTGCACCTCACGAGCTATGTGGTCCTAAAGCAAGCACCCTGCCCTTTCCAGGCCTCCAGCTCCCCCACCTGTGAAATGACAGAGATGCAGGTGGTGTTAGCCTTTATGTCCTCAAAGAGTCCTCTAGCCCTGGCCATCGGGATTTCTGGATGATAAGGGCCTTGCTGCCCTGACTGCCTCCTTACCGTCAACCCTCTGAACAAACAGCCTGCAAGGGCTCACCCACATTGTCTTTCCTCCATCCTCCCTGAGATGGGGTCAGAAAGGCCAGGCCTAGGGGTAGTGATTTCCTGCCCCACATTGGCGCTCCTGGTCTCTTGGGTAAGAGATAGTCAGGCTATGTCAAATGCATGAAGTTGGGGAGTGATGAGAGGACCCCAATGGGCAGCACTAGAAGCCCTAGCTGGGTAACAGTAACTCCCAATGCCACATGTCATTCCTGTTCCTCCCTGTGCCCACAGAGCCCACTTGGCCACTGATACAGAATGGAGTCCAACCCAGCCGGGTCTACCAGTCCACAGGTGAGAGCGGTCATAGGTCCTTCACCTACCACCGTGGCGTTGACCTTCATCAGGGCTGAGGAAATCTTTAGAGGCACCAGGCAGCTCTCTGGATATCCTAGACCAGAGCTGGGGGCTGATGGGTCACTGGGATATTTGCCGGAGAGAGAAGAGGCTTCGACAAGGGTTTCAAAAATAGATGGGGTCAGGAAATCATGAGATTTGTTATGAGGACATCCAAACTCTAATCTCAGCCCAGCTATCTGTAAAATCACGGACGGCTCTTCTCTGGGCTGCAGTTTTCTCACCATTAAAATGGGCTCACCAGTCAGTAGCTTCCTGAGGCTGTTGTAAGAAGCAGAGGAGATGATGGATGGATGAATGGATGACTCCTTGGGTGAATGAATAGATGCCAGGAGACACATGGAAGGAAAGAAGGAAGGAGGGACAGAAGATTCAAGGCAGCTAGCCAGCCTCATAGAGACACTAAAGAAGGGACTCAGAGCTACGCCAGGCGAGAGCAGTCAGGACCTGCTGATCTTAATCACCTCTCTCTCTTTTTTTTTAAAATTTTGTCTTTAGTCCCCAAGAGCCAATGGGAACATCAACCTGGGCCCTTCAGCCAACCCCAAGTGAGTTCTAGTCCAGTCCTCACGCGGATATTCTGCATGGCCCTCCTTGCCTTGGAAAAAAAACTCCTTCTTCCTTTCCCTTGCTGCGATCTTTGCTTTAATCTTAACTCGAAGCTCTGGTGGTGTCATCAGTAGGGATTCTCTTTTTTTTTAATTTTTATTATTTTGTGTGCGTGCACCGTCAAATCAGATCTGACTGGTACAGGAGGAAATTGTGCCTCCTTCTCTGGCAGAGCATCTGGTGGATTTGAGCCGTGTTCCTCTGGGATTGCAGTGCAGCTTCTTGCCACTAGGCCACCAGAGCTCCCCAGTAGGGATTCTCTTGTTAACCCAAAGGTGACGCCTCTGTGGCGGTGTGGAAGGAGAAAGGTGGACAGTCGCCTTCTGTGCAATACACAGCTTGAGAGTCCGCTGGAGGGTCAGTTCTGAGCTGTTTTCAACTCGTGGGCGACGTTGTAGTCGTCGTGTGCTGTCAGCTGGAGCTGACTCGGAGCTGACCCTCTGACGGGTTATCAGAGATAGTGAATCACGTGGGAGGAGATTGCTCTTCCTCTGCCGGAGCACCTGGTCAGTTCAAACTGTGTGCCTTTAAAAAAAAATTATTCAGAACTGGCTTTGACAAGCACTGTG